GGAACGTTCCAACCGACTGCCGAGGCCTCCTGCGTCGCCGTGTTGTTGTTGCTGCAGACACGTCCGAGGCGGATTGCGCCGCGCATGCGCCACATCCGGGGTCCTGTTTCCCCTCGCAGACTGCGCATGCGCCTCCAGGCCACTATGGTTCCTCGTTTCTTTTTCTCTCTCCCCAATCCCTCCTTGCCGCCTGCGGTTCAGTCCCGCCAACTGCGCATGCGTCCCATCTCACCCCAAGACCTCATTGCCGTCCCACAAACAGCGCATGCGCCCCAATACTACTATGCTTCCTCGTTTGTTTCCCTCTCCAAGCTCTCATTGCCGCCTCTTTCAGTCCCGCAAACTGCGCATGCGTGCCATCTCACCCCCCCCGCCCTCATTGCCGTCCCACAAACTGCGCATGCGCCCCAATACTACTATGCATCCTCGTTTGTTTCTCTCTCCAAGCTCTCATTGCCGCCTCTTTCAGTCTCGTAAACTGCGCGTGCGTAGTGTCGGGAAATAGCCCCTGTGATTTCTCTTGGAAAGGATGCGGGAGGGCGGGCGCGACTCTGACTTCATAAAGTTTATGGTTGTCGTATCCTTTTCAAGAAATGAATATGCGTGGGTGTTTGTTTAGACACTTTCCATACAGCTGTATAAAAATCCACATTGAACTGGATTATATGGCAGTGTGGACTCAGATAACCCAGTTCAAAGTAGATATTGTGGATTTTACCTTAGTTTATAAGTAGATATTGTGGATTTTACCTTAGTTTATAATTCCCATCAGTTCCACCCAATATGAGTGGTAAAGGATTATGGGAGCTGTAGTCCAGACACCCAAAGGGGCAAAAGTTACTAAATTCTCACCCCCTGATGTTTTGGACAACCAAAAACTACAAATCCATAGCATTAAACTATGGCAGTTAAAGTGGTGTCAACTTGCATTAACTCTACAACAGTGGGTCTCAAACCCTTAATACAGTTCCTCATGTTGAGCTGTTGCATGAAACCCCCCAAACCTCTGACCTGTCGGTCTTCAGTCCTGCAAGTACAGAGGTTGAACTTTCTGCGCCACCGGGGGTTTATTAGAAACATTAGGTACATCAGGAAGAACTTCCTAACTGTGAGAGCTGTTCAGCAGTGGGACTCTCTGCTCGGGAGTGTGGTGGAGGCTCCTTCTTTGGAGGCTTTTAAGCAGAGACTGGATGGTCATCTGTCGGGGGTGCTTTGAATGCAATATCTTCAAGAAGGGAAAAAAAGGATGACCCAAACAACTACCGTCCGGTCAGCCTCACGTCGATACCAGGCAAGATTCTGGAAAAGATTGTTAAGGAAGTGGTCTGCAAACACTTAGAAACAAATGCAGTCATCGCTAATAGTCAACATGGATTTATCAAAAACAAGTCATGCCAGACTAATCTGATCATCTTTTTTTGATAGAGTTACAAGCTGGATAGATGCAGGGAATGCCGTGAATGTAGAGTACTTGGATTTCAGAAAGGCCCCCAACAAGGTCCCCCATGACCTTCCTGCAAACAAACTATTTCAATGTGGGCTAGGCAAAACTATGGTGAGGTGGATCTGTAATTGGTTAAATAGACGAACCCAGAGGGTGCTCACCAATGCTTCCTCTTCATCCTGGAAAGAAGTGACGAGCGGAGTGCCGCAGGGTTCCGTCCTGGGCCCGGTCCTGTTCAATATCTTTATTAATGACTTAGGGAAAAAATAGGACAAGTGCAAAGAAGCCAGAATGGATGTCCAAAGAACTTCTAACTGTGTTAAGACACAAAAGAGACATGCACAAGAAGTGGAAAAAGGGAGAAATCACCAAAGAAGAATTCAAACAAATAGCAACACCTGTAGGGAAAAGGTCCGCAAGGCTAAAGCACAAAACGAGCTCAGGCTTGCCAGGGACATTAAAAACAATAAAAAGGGCTTCTTTTCTTATGTCAGTAGAAAAAGGAAAAACAAGGAGGCGATAGGGCCTCTTCGAGGAGAAGATGGGGCAATGCTGACAGGGGGTAGGGAAAAGGCAGAACTACTTAATGCCTTCTTTGCCTCAGTCTTCTCACAAAAAGAAGGTCATCTTCAACCTCAGCAAGATGGAGTGGATGAGGGATTAGAGGACATCCAACCCCAAATTGGGAAACAAGTCATCCAGGAATACCTGGCCGCTCTAAATGAGTTCAAGTCCCCAGGGCCAGATCAACTACACCCAAGAGTATTGAAGGAACTAGCGGAAGTCATTTCGGAACCATTGGCAATCATCTTGGAGAGTTCTTGGAGAACGGGGGAAGTTCCAGCAGATTGGAGGAGGGCCAATGTGGTCCCAATCCTCAAGAAGGGAAAAAAGGATGACCCAAACAACTACCGTCCGGTCAGCCTCACGTCGATACCGGGCAAGATTCTGGAAAAGATTGTTAAGGAAGTGGTCTGCAAACACTTAGAAACAAATGCGGTCATCGCTAATAGTCAACATGGATTTATCAAAAACAAGTTATGCCGGACTAATCTGATCTCTTTTTTCGATAGAGTTACAAGCTGGGTAGATGCGGGGAATGCCATAGATGTGGTGTACCTGGATTTCAGTAAGGCCTTCGACAAGGTCCCCCATGACCTTCTGGCAAGGAAACTAGTCCAATGTGGGCTAGGCAAAACTACGGTGAGGTGGATCTGTAATTGGTTAAATGGACGAACACAGAGGGTGCTCACAAATGCTTCCTCTTCATCCTGGAAAGAAGTGACGAGCGGAGTGCCGCAGGGTTCCGTCCTGGGCCCGGTCCTGTTCAACATCTTTATTAATGACTTAGATGAAGGGTTAGAAGGCATGATCATCAAGTTTGCAGACGACACCAAATTGGGAGGGAGAGCCAATACTCCAGAGGACAGGAGCAGGATTCAAAACGATCTTGACAGATTAGAGAGATGATGGGCCAAAACTAACAAAATGAAGTTCAAGGACAAATGCAAGATACTCCACTTTGGCAGGAAAAACGAAATGCAAAGATACAGAATGGGGGATGCCTGGCTCGAGAGCAGTACGTGTGAAAAAGATCTTGGAGTCCTCGTGGACAACAAGTTAAACATGAGCCAACAATGTGATGTGGCGGCAAAAAAAAGCCAATGGGATTTTGGCCTGCATCAATAGGAGCATAGTGTTTAGATCTAGGGAAGTAATGCTACCCCTCTATTCTGCTTTGGTTAGACCACACCTGGAATATTGTGTCCAATTCTGGGCACCACAATTCAAGAGAGATATTGACAAGCTGGAATGTGTCCAGAGGAGGGACTAAAATGATCAAGGGTCTGGAGAACAAGCCCTATGAGGAGCGGCTTAAGGAGCTGGGCATGTTTAGCCTGAAGAAGAGAAGGCTGAGAGGAGATATGATAGTAATGTATAAATATGTGAGAGGAAGCCACAGGGAGGAGGGAGCAAGCTTGTTTTCTGCTTCCTTGGAGACTAGGAAACAATGGCTTCAAACTACAAGAGAGGAGATTCCATTTGAATATGAGGAAGAAATTCCTGACTGTGAGAGCCGTTCAGCAGTGGAACTCTCTGCCCCGGAGTGTGGTGGAGGCTCCCTCTTTGGAAGCTTTTAAACAGAGGCTGGATGGCCATCTGTCAGGGGTGATTTGAATGCAACATTCCTGCTTCTTGGCAGGGGGTTGGACTGGATGGCCCATGAGGTCTCTTCCAACTCTTTGATTCTATGATTCTATGACTTCTTGTTTGGATAGGTCCAAAGGACAGGTTGCCTGCAAGAGCATAGGTACATGCTATGTATTTCCTTACCAGCAAGAAATAATCAAAATAATATAATCCAGTTTTTAAAATCAACACATTTGTTGAGTGTCAAAAACTAGAATGTCAAAATCCAGTATTTTGGAGCCACCAACTGGAAAGGCATTCAGTCTGCCATGACATACAAATGGACTAGGACCCAGCTTGCGGAAAGGCGTTGAACGCGCAAGTGATTAGCTACAGGAAATTTTCCTTGGCTTGGCCCATGAAGAGAAGGAAACCCTGACTGAGCTGAGTCAGCCCCTGCTATTTAAAGGACAGAATGTGTTTGCAGCTGGAATCGTCCATCTAAACCACACCCTGTTTATTTGAATATGGGCAAGATTTAGCTCTCCGTACCCACTGGGCTTGCCGAGTTTAAATTTAGATCAAGGATATCTGAGCTAGAGAGGGGATCTGGGAGGGAGGGAGGCTGCCAGGAGTGTGTTCAAACTCTGGATGCACTTGAATTCGGTAGCTAAAGGGGAAATGAGAGCTCTCCTGTTTCGTGACATCTTATACCACGGGGAGAATAAACCACATTTCTGAAGTCTTTGCATCTCCCTGTTCCACAAAGCTGTTTTTTCTGGCGGTGGCACATGGAACATGAAATGCCTCCAACTTAGCAAGGAGGCACGCACACAACCCTACTATTAAACTTCAAAGCACAACGATCCTGCCTGGAAATAATTTGTTTGCTGTCCACTGGGCTGAATTAATTCTTGATTTCCAGAATGAATTCCCAAATAGGATGGAGTCAACATGGTAGAACTAATGCAAGTTTGAGACCACTTTAACTGCCATGGCTCAATGCTATGGAATCATGGGTGTTGTAGTTTGATGAGGTACCAAAGACCATGTAAAACTAGAACTCCCATGATTCCATAGCATCAAGACATGGCAGTTAAAGTGGTCTCAATCTGCAGTAATTATGCAGTGTAGAAGCACCCTGAGAGGAAAGGAACTTTTTTGCAGTTTGATAGGATTTGTTGGTTGAAGGCTTTCTTGGCTGGAATCACTGGGTTGCTGTGAGTTTTCCGGGCTGTATGGCCATGTTCCAGTTGCATTCTGTCCTGATGTTTCACCTGTATATGTGGCAAGCATCCTCAGGGGTTTGTTCAGAGGTCTGTGGAAATGAGACAAGTGGAGTCCAGGGTCGGAGAAAGAACCCTTGTCTGTTTGAAGCGTGAGTGGAGAGTCAGCATCTGCCAGGAGCTGAGATGAAGCCAGGCTATTTCAGGCTGGAAAAACATCTATCATTTATTTACAACTTTGGAACAACATCAGCAAGAAATCTTACTATATAAGAGACCTTCTAATATTTCTAAAATTGTGGCAGATTGGAGGAGTCTGGTCCACCCGCCATGCTCTTCTCCATGGGAAGGAAAGAGATGGTGTACCTTTGGAAGTGGCAGATCTGCAATGGAACACAGTCTGGTCCTTGCCTCCTTTTCTCATGGGAAGAGAAAGGAGTGTAATTTTGGAGTCCTGATACATTTGCAGTGAGTCAGTTCCTGCTGTAGGGAAAACGGATCTGATCCTTGGCATTGTGTTATGGCTTTCTGGAAGTTTTGGAACTGTCTGTTGGCTGCAGGGAAAGCAGGGTCTGGCTTAAGCAGGTGCTTTTCCAAGGAGAGAGAAAGGAGAAGGTATTATTTGGATGCATGAGGATGAATGAATATGTATGGTTAATGCGAATGCAGAGTAAAAATGTATTTCCCCTTTGTTTGTTAACCAATATAACTGTAGGTTGTTTGTGGATTCAATGTATGTTAGCATGTCTGTATGTATGTTAGCATGTCTAAATGTTGTTCTTTGTGTAAAACTGTAAAGGTTTTGATACACTTTCTCTTACTGGCCCAGGCTATAGAACAACTGCTAAATCACCACCAACAGCAATAAGATCTACCAACTGAAAGTTTGCCAGTTCAAAGCCCAGGTCAGAGTGAGCACCTGACTGTCAGCCCAGCTCACTGTTTACCTAAGCAGTTCAAAAACAGCTTAGAGCTGTAAGTAGAGAAATTAGGTACTACTAAAAAGCGGGGGAGGTATTTTATGACACCATAAAAGAAAAAGACCAGAAAATGCTGGTGACCAAACAGAAGGAGGAAGACCTGATGGCGCTTCGTCATAGAGAATGGATCGAAAGCACCCACCCACCCACCCCCACGGCTGGATTTGAGCACAGAAAGCTGGATGTCAACACAACATGTCTCCTTTCTGTCTGTTCTGTCCTGTCTGTCCAAATGGCATTAAATGTTTGCTGCGTATATAAACTATGATCCACCCAGAGTATTGTTGCTGTTGTTGTTGTTGTTGTTATTATTATTATTATTATTATTGTAAAATTGCAATAAAAAGGACCTATGCTTTAAAGTTATAGAAATATTATTCATAATATTAATTTTTGCAGATTTGATTAATATGGTCTCTCTAGGAATCTCCATAGCCCAATCCCTGTGTATATTTACTCAACAGTAAGGTTTGTTACTCCCAAACAGCACAGCCTTAATTCAATAAGTTCCGAGTTGATGAAATAAGAGTTGGTGTTAAACATTATGCAGAACAAATATGTTCTTCTAAAGCCCATGGGGAAATTTCAATCATTCTCATACTACTAAGGATTCCAAAGAAGTGTAGAAATTGATACTAAGAAGATAGATCCATCGCTTAGTCCTATGTGCCCTCAACCAATCCCTTTCAACCTAGCATTACAAAACAAATGTGGAATGCAACTCTGTTGTAAACATACACCATGTACCTGCGAAAAAGAATCTTGTTTCAGGAAATTTCTCCTGTTTTGGAGTCAAGTTGTGCTATTTTGTTTTTTTCAGTGGAACAGCTATGGTCATAAAGTCTTCTGCCAGCACGACCTCTTGCCCGTCCAGCACCAACTCCGCTTGCCTCTTCAGTTCTAAGACATCCAGGTCTCCGGCACCAACCTGACTGGTGGGCTTATACCTCTGACTCAAATGAGACAGAACCAGACTCTTGACTTTACACCGCTTTGCAAACTCTGCCGCCATTTTCGGAGTGCTGTGCCCATGTTCCTTGGCTTTGTCCATCTGGCTATCATCTAGCGTGGCTTCGTGAACCAAGATATCAGCTCCGTGGCACAGGGATGCAGCTCCTTCTCCAACCATACCACAGCAGTCTCCTAAAATGCAAATTTTCCTTCCAGGAAGAGGTTCTTCTAAGACGTCCGACGGAGAAATTGTGGTTCCATTTTCTAGGACAACTGTGATACCTTCTTTCAGTTTGCCATACATAGGGCCGGGCTGAACTCCTAGAAATTAAAGCACAGGGATGATGTTATCTTCTAAATGGCTCTTCGTTCCACACAGTTTCAATATACATTTGTATCTTTACTGGAGGAAAAGCAGAATATAAACATATGTAAAGAATAAAAACAAACATTGCATATATTTTTAGTGAACTCGTTCTCCAGATGTGGATCCTTTTGCAGGTTTTTGGAAGGGAGGGTAATTATTATTATTATTATTATTATTATTATTATTATTATTATTATTTCTTACCCACTTCTCTGGTCGGCAGCTGACTAGCTGAGCATGCCATGAGCCAGAGTTCTGATTGGCTACTGTCTCTGGTTTGCTGCTAAGACAAACGGTTTTAACTGTCACTTTCACCTCGGAGAGAGAAGAAAGCGCTGACTCTGTGTTCTATATATTGGGATTTATAGTCTACCTATACTCAAAGAGTATTCTGAACTTCACCAGCGATGGAATTGAACCAAATTTGGCACACAGAACTCCCATGACCAACACAAAATAATGGAAGGGTTTGGTGGGCATTGACCTTGAGTTTTGGAGTTGTGGTTCACCTACAAACAGAGAGCACTGTGGACTAAAACAATGATGGATCTGGACCAAGTTTGGCATGGATACTCAATACGGCCAAATGTGAACACTGGTGGAGTTTGGGGAAAATAGACCTTAATATTTGGGAGTTGTAGTTGCTGGGATTTATAGTTCACCTACAATCAAAGAGCATTCTGAACCCCACTAGAACTGGGTCAAATTTCCCATGACCAACAGAAAATACTTTGTTTTCTAATGGTCTTTAGCAACCCCTTTGACATCCCCCTGCAACACCCCCCCCTCCCGGGGGTCCCGACCCCCAGGTTAAGAAACTCTGGGCTAGAGGGAAGGTATAGAGGGATCTCTCACACCCAGCAACTTTGTATTTGTGGATCAGCCAGGAAGGAAATGGCTGCCAACTCTCTGAAGCCTGATCATTTCTAAGACATGAAGCATATTTAAAATACTATTTAAAAGGACTGTTTATCCCCTCTGTCCTCTGTAAGAATTCAGAGAGACTGCTGTATATATTGTTGCACTGTTTGACCTTTAGAACTGAAGTAAAGTTACCGTTACACAAATCTGAGTGACACATTATTATACTGCAGGGTATATTTTGGTTCAGAAACTGTGGTAAAGCTTCTGTTCATTTACATTTACAACCCCCAACAGTTTTTACCCAGTTCCTTCAGCTTCTGCACATTGAGCCTGCCTGGCCGCAGCTTCTCTTCCACCAGGAACCCAAAGGAAGGGATGCGATGAAATAGTCTGAACGCCTTCATCACAAACTGTTCATTGTCTACCAAGGGATACGAATCATCAGTGGGATCGAAGTAAACTGTTCTCCCTGGCGTTCCTTCAGGCACGGCGTCATCTCTGTACACAAAAGACAGCTCCTTGCGTTCTTCTTCAGGGCACTGATCCGGCGTGGGCACCAGTTCATGCACAACGTAAGGGAATGCGAGCTGGGAGTGAGACAGCGCCATAATTCTCCAAAGAAAGCTCCGCAGTCCAAGCGGTCCATAAATATCAACCGGAAGCTTGTTTGCGGCAGGATCACTCTGGAGGCTGATTGTGCAGAGAAGTCCAGGCAAACCAAAGAAATGGTCTCCATGAAGATGAGTGATAAAGATCTTGGTAATTCTTCCTGAGAAGGTAATAAACAGGGGTTCAAATGAGGATGAAACAAGACTTCATGACACACACACAGCCTGGGAAGTTAGATGATTCTATGTAAGAAAATTTGATTTTTTTTCTGTTCCTGGTCTGAAAGTTTTATTCCTGATTAATTGTGTGGTACTTTGAAAGGAATTGTTATACTCCAGAAACTTCATTTTTTTTTGTGGTTGACTGACCTGAGGTGCAGTTGGCTAGGAGTCAGCTGCATTAAATCACCACTGACCGAAAGGTCATGAGTTTGAAGCCAGCCCGGGTCGGAGTAAGCTCCCGACCATTTGACTAGCTTGCTGTCGACCTCTGCAGCCCAAAAGACAGTTGCAGAGGTGGCCCTAGGAAATTTTCAATGATAAGCAAACAGTATTTTGCCCCCCCCCCCAAACCAATCACTTATATATATTTTCTGTTCGTCGTGGGAGTTCTGTGTGCCATATTTGGTTCAATTCCATCATTGGTGGAGTTCAGAATGCTCTTTGATTGTAGGCGAACCATACATCCCAGTAACTACAACTCGCATATGTCAAGATCTATTTTCCCCCAAAAGCGCCTCAAGAGCACCCCTGGGCAAAATCAACTATACTGCAAATGCTTACTTTGCGTAATGGGTTGAGCTGCCCCTGTGCATCTGTAAAGTAGGAAATTTAGGTACCGCTTATGTGGGGAAGCTAATTGAACTAATTTACGATGCCATAAAAATCTCCAGCAATGGGTGAAAGAATGAGGAAGTACTCCATCAAGGACTCGGTGTCACAAGCAGACCGTGAAGCAACAGCTCCCCCAGTGTCTGGAATTCGAGCATACCCTCATGAAGCGTAAATTGCCTCTGTGTTTATTTATTTATTTACAAAATTTCTACCCCGCCGTTCTCAACCCCCGGAGGTGGGACTCAGAGCGGTTTACACTGGCAACAATTTGATGCCGCAACAAATATGGCAAATATAACAGCAATATAAGACAACAAATAGGTTAAAAACAGTTAAAACATTATTATCACAATCATGTAGCCATTTCCATTATTATCACAATCATGGAGTCCAGTTTGACATCCAAAGTGTCATGCTTGCTAGACAAAAGCCTGGTTTCAAAACCATGATTTCAGTTTCTTCCTAAAGGAAAGGAGAAATGAAGCCGACCTGATTTCACTGGGGAGCAAATTCCACAGCCAGGGGGGCACAACCAAGAAGGCCCTGTCCCTTGGCCCCACGTGATGCATGTTTGTCATATATGTTGTGTGTCTATGGAATTGAATGTTTGCTATGTATATGTGCCCTGAGTCCCCTGCGGGGTGAGAAGGGCGGAATATAAATACTGTAAATAAATAAATAAATTGGTTGAGACTCAATGAGATATTTATTGAAAAACCATAGCAAAAATGCTGCAGGAGGTCCAGCAAAAACAAAGTTTTTGCAGCTTAATAAACATTTTCCGTGTTTTTATGATAGAACCAATTAAAAATGACATTTAGAACCCAGGAACAAAAATAGTGTTATAGCTCCAAGAATCCCCCAACCAAGGAGTCATGTGAGTTGAGAAATACTGGGATTCGTAGTCCAAAAGACTCCCAGCAACATCCCCCAACCTTTTAATATTTGCATTTCAAGCATGCAAAGATTCTCCTTTCCTGCACATTGTTACTAGCAGTTGCTCTTGAGGTGTCTTTTTTTAAAGTGGCCCGTCATCAAGAAACCACAATCCCCACCAGTAAGTGGGAAACGAACAGACAAATGTGAACCTCTAGAATTAACCTGCTTTCAGTTGACTTTTCATGAACTGGGTCTGCGTCCCTTCACCGCAATCAAACAGCCAGCACTCTCCTTCGAAGCGAACAACTGTAGCAGAGGCACCTCTAGTTGGAGACGGATAAGCAGCCCCCGTCCCCAGGAAAGTCACATCCATTGACATTTTATTCAGAAGCAGTGCCACACCTGAAGGAGAGGGAAACAGATGCAAATACATAATTCAATCCAGAAATGTCAAATCTGCAAATGTGGAGGGATGTCGTCTTCCTAACTGTGAGAGCTGTTAAGCAGTGGAACTCTCTGCCCCGGAGTGTGGTGGAGGCTCCTTCTTTGGAAGCTTTTAAACAGAGACTGGATGGCCATCTGTCAGGGGTGTTTTGAATGCAATATTCCTGCTTCTTGGCAGGGGGTTGGACTGGATGGCCCATGAGGTCTCTTCCAACTCTATGATTCTATGAAATCCCAATAACTAAGGCCCGCGGGCCACTTCCAGCCCGCCAAGGGCACTTATCCAGCTCGCGGAGGAGGAGCACCCCCCCACAGTGCCCCTCCCTTGGCTGGCTCACGCTATCCATCAGGTCCGATGAGCAGCATGAGCCAGCCAAGGGCAGCTGTTCCGCGCGGTCTACTCTCGTGTAAAGCACCTCGCGAGGTGCTTTACGCGAGAGTAGGCCATGCGGTGCTGCTCCTCCCTTGGCAGGCTCACGCTGCCCATCGGCCCGATGACCAGCGTGAGCCGGCCAAGGGCAGCTGCTCCGTGCAGTCTACTCTCGTGTAAAGCACCTCGCGAGGTGCTTTATGCGAGAGTAGGCCACGCGGTGCTGCTCCTCCCTTGGCTGGCTCACGCTATCTGTCAGGCCCGATGGGCAGCGTGAGCCAGCCAAGGGAGGCTGCCCCGGCGCTCCATGCAGTCATGCCGGCCACATGACCTTGGAGGTGTCTACGGACAACGCCGGCTCTTCGACTTAGAAATGCAGATGAGCACCACACCCCAGAGTCGGACACGACTGGACTTCATGTCAGAGGAAAACCTTTAACTAGGAAAATTGTGGAAGATCCAGGGTGGGAGAAAGAACTCTTGTCTTTTGGAGGTAGGTATGAATGTTTCAATTGGCCACCTTGATTACCATTTCATGGCCTGACAGTTTTTAGGGAGAATCCTTTCTTGAGAGGTGATTAGCTGACCCTGATTGTTTCTTGTCTGGAGTTCCCCTGTGTTTGAGTGTTGTTCTTTATTTACAGTTATAATTTTAGAGTTTTTAAAATAATGGTAACCAGATTTTGTTCAGACTAGAAATAGGAAGATTTCCCATTCTCTGCTCCTGGAACTACTGCCTAGAGAGGGCTAGAAAGAACCCCCTCTAAGGGCCCTTTCACACAGCAAAATAAGATATGTGCAATGTGCATAGGAGTTTTTTTAATTGTTTTTTTTAAAAAAAAAAACTATAGTCCGGCCCTCCAACGGTTTGAGGGACAGTGAACTGGCCCCCGGTTTAAAAAGTTTGAGGACCCCTGTTCTAGAACATGGCCATATAGCCCAGAAAACTCACAACAACACAGTGATTTCAGCCATGAAAGCCTTCAACAATAAATTAGTTTTTTATCGTGTCTGAAGCAAATCACTGCAAGTCGCTTCTGATGTGAGAGAATCGGCCATCTACAAAGACGTTGCCCAGGGGACACCTAAATGTGTTACCATTCTGTGGGAAGCTTCTATCATGTCCCTGCATGGGAAGCTGGAGCTGACAGACTGGCACTTACCCCGCTCCCCAGATTCGAATGGCCAACCTTCAGGTCAGCAGTTCTGCCAGAACAAGGGTTTAACCCTGTACAGAAGTTGATTATAAATTGTATGATTTTAACTGTATTGGTGTTTAGATTGGCTGCAGTAATGCTGGAGCGGCCTAAGTCAGAGGAGTGCGTTGCCATGGAGACGATGCAGTAGAGAGAGAAGTGGGAGGAGCTTAGAGGGGAGAGTTTGAAAAACGACAGTTTATGTTCAGTTAGGTTTTAGGTTCCGAGGAGTGAGGAGTTAGGGTTTTGGAGTCGGAGTTAGCAGTTGAGAGAGAGAGAGTGGGAAGTAGAGAAGCAGTGTTTGTGAATAGTCAGAGGTTTCTTCAGTTTAGGAAGGCTGAAGGGGAAACCTAATTAGTTTCATTAGTTAGAGAGGACTAAGAGAAGCTTGTTTAGATCACTAGTTAAAAATGAACTAGAGATCTGGGGTTTGATCACGGAAGGATCAAACAGGAAGGCTATTCACCTCGGGAAACATTGTTTAAGAAAGTGCTTCACCACAGTAAAAATCAATTACAAGTTGTAACATCCAGAAGTGTGAACTGTATTGCAACCAAGTTACATGTAAAGTTCTCAAAGTATTTCCAAGTTTATCAACAGCCTGCAACCATACGCTTTGTTCAAAATAAACTTGTTCTCTTTTGTTTGAAGACTGCCTCATCTCCATTAATTCTGCGTCCAGTGTGCCATATCTCCCAATAATACCTCACATCACACATTGGTGGCACCATTAAGAGTAATAAATAATAAATCGTCCCTCCTCTCTCCTAATTCGTTACAAACCCATTGCACCATCGCAGCTCCTAAGGTATTAATAAATATAATAGTGAATTGGTTGTTGTACTAGGTTTTTTCGGGCTATATGGCATTATCTCCTGGCGTTTCGCCTGCATCTATGGCAAGCATCCTCAGAGGTAGTGATGGAAGATAATTGATGAGTTAATACTTCTAAAACAGAATAGAAATGTATATAATTTCAATAATGTGGATATTATATATATGAAGACACACGCACACAGTCTGTATAAATGATAGCCTAATATAACAAGTATTTACATATGTATTATTAGCCTTTTAACAAAAGAAAACAACTCAGGGATATGTAAATATCCTTGTTAAAACTAGGGGAAAATAGAGTATGTATAAGTAAAATGATACAATAAATAGATAGAACAGTAATAATACTAATAGTTCAAAAAATTGGAGAACCAAAGTTTGGGCACCCCTGAGCTAGACCTCCATGCCTCTGACAGCCATTTTCATTGGCACTGAATGGGGATGATGGGAGTTGTAGTCCGACTCAACTGCAGGGAGCAGCTTTCAGGAAATGTCACTATTTACAGACTCACAAAATGCATGCATGTTAAGATGTGTCGTTTTCCTACTCACTTTCTTTGCTGGAAATCTTCCTTCTAAGTTCACATCTCACCTTCCAAAACAGACATAAAAGGCTCTTTCTTTAAAAGCGGGATATTTTTTCTTCCTTCGAAACGTATTTGCTGTTTTTTAAAATCCGAAATTAATCCTCCAAACGACAGGAAATGGGAGAAAACTGAATTCCTTTCCCTTTGCAAGCTCAGGCTTTTTTTTGCATTGCTTTTTGCAAGAGAATTGTTAGTCACGTGCTCAAGGATTTGGGACTTCAACTCCCAGAAGCCTCAGCTGCCTTGGCTAATGATCAGGGATTCTGGGAGCTGAAGTCCAAAAGGGAAGGGAAACCAAGGCATTTCCTGGGCTGGACCTTTCAGGAGGAGGAGTGGCCAGATTTTCCCTTGCAACAATGTTGAATGAAAGTTTATTCAAAGTTTAATCAACTTTCCCCAAGTTTTTATAATAGATCCAATTGGGAAATGGCATTTATAACCCAGGAACAAAAATCATGTTACCTAGTGTATTCTCTCCAGCCCTCTTGATGCAACTCCCCTCCAGTGACAACAATTAATATTAGCATATATAGTACAATAGTTCCAGAGAGGGGGGAAAAAACCAGAAGAGGAATTCACAAACTTGCAATCCTGAAACAATGTTAATCTTGTCCTTGTTATATTTCTTTGTAGACCACCTTTTCCCAGGACTTGGACCCAAAGTTATTTATTTATCGTGCCATGGGCAACCAGACCATTGTATTACATTTCTAACAGAACAAAACAAACAGATAAAAAACACAAAGTTTGCAAACTTGGTAGTTGGTTAAATGTCCTTTGACCAGTATCTGGCCACTTGGAGTGCCTCTGGTGTTGCCGCAAGAAGGTCCTCCATGGTGCATGTGGCAGGGCTCAGGTTGCATTGCAGCAGGTGGTCAGTGGTTTGTTCTTCTCCGCACTCACATGTCAAGGATTCCACTTTGTAGCCCCATTTCTTAAGGTTGGCTCTGCATCTTGTGGTGCCAGAGCGCAGTCTGTTCAGCGCCTTTCAAGTCGCCCAGTCCTCTGTGTGCCTAGGGGGGAGTCTCTCATCTGGTATCACCCATGGATTGAGGTGCTGGGTTTGAGCCTGCCACTTTTGGACTCTCGCTTGCTGAGGTGTTCCAGCGAGTGTCTCTGTAGATCTAAGAAAACTATTTCTTGATTTAAGTCGTTGACGTGCTGGCTGATACCCAAACAAGGGATGAGCTGGAGATGTCTCTGCCTTGGTCCTTTCACTATTGGCTGCCACTTCCCAGCGGATGTCAGGTGGTGCAATACCAGCTAAACAGTGTGATTTCTCCAGTGGTGTGGGGCACAGACATCCTGTGATAATGCAGCATGTCTCATTAAGAGACTGTTTTAGTGTGGTGAGATGTGTTCCACACTGGGCATGCGTACTCAGCAGCAGAGTAGCATAGCGCAAGGGCAGATGTCTTCACTGTATCTGGTTGTGATCCCCAGGTTGTGCCAGTCAGCTTTCGTATGATATTGTTTCTAGCACCCACTTTTTGCTTGATGTTCAGGCAGTGCTTCTTGTAGGTAAGAGCACGGTCCAGAGTGACTCCCAGGTATTTGGGTGCGCTGCAATGCTCCAGTGGGATTCCTCCCCAGGTAACCCTCAGAGCTTGGGATGCTTGTCTGTTATTAAGGTGAAAGGCACATGTCTGTGTTTTAGATGGATTAGGGATCAGCTGGACCCAAAGTGAACAAGATCTTGGAGTCCTCCTGGACAACAAGTTAAACATGAGCCAACAATGTGACGCAGCAGCTAAAAAAGCCAATGGGATTTTGGCCTCCATAATCATAGAATCATAGGGTTGGAAGAGACCTCAAGGATCATCCAGTCCAATGCTCTGCCAAGAGGATTGGACTGGATGACCCTTGAGGTCTCTTCCAACCCTATGATTGGACTGCCAAGAAAATTGCATTCAAAGCACCCCCGACAGATGACCATCCAGTCTCTGCATAAAAGCCTCCAAAGAAGGAGCCTCCACCACACTCCCGAGCAGAGAGTTCCACTGCTGAACAGCTCTCACAGTTAGGAAGTTCTTCCTAATGTCCCTAATGTTCCTAATAAGCCCCTGGTGGCGCAGGACTGAAGACCAACAGGTCAGAGGTTTGAATCCGGGGAGAGCGTGGTGAACTCCCTCTATCAGCTCTAGCTCCTCATACGGGGCTATAAGAGAAGCCCCCCACAAGAATGGTAAAACATCAAAATATTAGGGCATCCTTGGGCAATGTCCTTACAGACGGCCAATTCTCTCACACCAGAAGCAACTTGCAGTTTCTCATGTCGCTCTTGACACAACAAAAAAAATGTTGCAGACCACTTCCTTAATTATCTTTTCCAGAATCTTGCCTGGTATTGACGTGAGGCTGACCGGACGGTAGTTGTCTGGGTCATCCTTTTTTCCCTTCTTGAAGATAGGAACCACATTGGTCCTCCTCCAATCTGCAGGGACTTCTCCCGTTCTTCAAGAACTCTCAAAGATAATTGCCAGTAGTTCCGAAATTACTTCTGCTATTTCCTTCAATACTCTTGGATGTAGTTGATCTGGTCCTAGGGACTTGAATTCATTTAGAGTGGCCAGGTATTGCTGGGCAACTTGTTTCCCTATTTGGGGTTGTATTTCCCCCAGTCCTTTGTCCATTCCATGTTGCTGAGGTTGAGGATGACTTTCGTTTTGTGAAAAGACTTGAGGCAAAGAAGGCATTAAGTGGTTCTGCCTTTTCCCTATCCTCTGTATAAATAGGAAGATAGTGTCTAGATCCAAGGAATTCTGCCTTGGTCAGACCACACCTGGAATCACACTGTATCCAATTCTGGGCAATTGAAGGGAGATCTCCACAAGCTGGAATGTGTCCAGAGGAGGGTGACTAAAATGATCAAGGGTCTGGAGAACAATCCCTATGAGGAGCATCTTAAAGAGCTGGCCATGTTTAGCCTGCAGAAGAGAAAACTGAGAGGCGACAAGATGTATAAATATGTGAGGGGAAGTCATAGGGAGGAGGGAGCAAGCTTGTTTTCTGATGCCCTGGAGACTAGGATGCAATGGAACAATGGCTTCAAACTACAGGAAAGGAGATTCCGCCTGAACATTAGGAAGACCTTCCTAACTGTTACGGCAGCTCCACTGGCTGCCAGTCTGCTACCGCGCACAAGTGCTGGTTTTAACCTTTAAAGCCCTGAATGGTTCTGGCCCATATTATCTGTCCGAACTTATCTCCTGCTATGAACCATTGCAAAGTTTAAGATAAGCTGGGGAGACCCTGCTCGCGATACTACTGTTTTCACAAATGCAACTGGTGGGGATGAGGGACAGGGCCTTCTTAGTGGTGGCCCCTCACCTATGGAACTCTTATCCCAGTGACGTCAGATTGGCCCCTCCCTCCTGTCCTTTAGAAAGAAACTCAAAACCTGGTTATAGGACCAAGTAGAGGCAGCAATCGAGAATAAGACTCAAGTGATATGAACTATAATGGATTGACCCAGACTATGATTTTGAACTGGATTATATGACAGTGTAGACTCAGATAATCCAGCTCAAAGCAAATAACCTGGATTATCTGCTTTGATAATCAGGATTATATGGCAGTGTAGAAGGGGGCTCGTCGATGCAGGTAAAACAAAGTAAGTGTGTTTGCGCCAAGAACATAGACCAGTTCCATGGTCAAACTGGGTCTCTGCAATACTAGGTGAAAAAGGGCAAATGAATGAATGAGTGAGGTGCAGGGAAGATTAATCTAACTGGAGCAGTATGATAAAATTAAACACACGACACGAGCAAATGGAAAGGCTTTTACTATGAAAATAGAAGACCTAACACATCTCAGAGTACAGTTACGATATTACCAAAGGAGAAAAATAAACTCGCAATTCAAAACATAGAGCAGAAAATTAACATCGTGAAGTTCTTTTTAGTTTTGCCTCTGAGAGAAGTGCTCCCTCAAAAGGCATTTGATTTGCTTTCAAGTCCTCCCGCAGCCTATACACAATACATAGCGATGAACAGAACGTATTTCTAGGTTTTCTCCTTGCTTTTGCATCTTTTGTGACTTTTTCACCTGCCAAAGATAGGCGGGTTTCCTTATATAGTCTGATAAGAAAAAGATAAAAAGCAAAAATGCAGTCTCAGTTTTCCTGCAGTTATCATAAGGAAAAGGTCCTGAGTCTCACTGAAACTTGAGGGATTTTTTAACTACATCTCCCAGAATCCTCTGGAATGGGAAAATCAGTGTTTCAGAATGCTCTTTGATTGTAGGTGAACTATAAATCCCAGCAAGTTCAACACCCAAATGTCCAGATTCTATTTTCCCCAAACTCCACCAGTGTTCACATTTGGGCATATTGAGTATTCGTGTAGAGTTTGGTCCAGATTCATCATTGTTTCAGTCCACAGTGCACTCTGGATGTAGGTGAACTACAACTCCAAAACCAAAGGACACTGCTCACCAAACCCTTCCAGTACTTTCTGTTGGTCGTGGGGGGTCCTGTGTGCCAAGTTTGGTTCAATTCCATCGTCGGTGGGGTTCAGAATGCTCTTTGATTGTAGGTGAACTATAAATTCCAGCAACTACAACTCCCAAATGAAAAAATCAAATTTTTTGAGTGAAGGACATACATTGGGTGGTTAGGTGTCTTGTGTCCACATTTGGTGTCAATTCGTCCAGTGGTTTTTGAGTTCTGTTAATCCCACAAATGAACATGACATTTTTATTTATATAGATAGTGATGCCTTCAGACCCATCACTGCTCGCAGGTTCGAATCCAGGGAGAGGCGGGTGAGCTCCCTCTACCAGCTCCAGCTCCTCATGCGGGGACATGAGAGAAGCCTCCCACAAGGATGATAAAAACATCAAATCATCCAGGTGCCCCCTGGGCAACGTTCTTGCAGACGGCCAATTCTCTCACACCAGAAGCGACTTGCAGTTTCTCAAGTCGCTCCTGACACGAAAAAAAAAAATTAAAGGGTTTAGTTCTGAGTTTGGGAGACAGTTGCTGCTGGGTCCTCACAGAACCTCCAGCGGCTTTGGAACAGCGACATTTCGACAGAGTAGAAAAGGTTTAAAAAGAAAAAGAAAATCATGCATTGGATATGCAAATGATACCACCTTGATGGCCGAAATCGGGGAGGAGTGGAAGACCCTTCTCACCAAGGTGAAAGAAGAAAGTGCAAAAGCTGGGTTGCAGTTAAACATCAAAAAACCCAAGATGATGGCAAC